TTAACTTGAAAAGGAGGCAAAAGAAAAACAAGGATCTATGTTTGTGTTTCTAAGAAGATTTTTGGAGATAAAGAGGCTAAAAATGAAGAGGTTTTAGAAGGATGGGAAGTTAAGAATGAGAATTCTCAGAAGTATTTTGCTCTGTATCTTTTGGTTTTCCTTGATTTTTAGACCATGTGACATCAGTTATTCAAAAATTTAAATAATTTTCAAATAGCAAAAGCCATCCACATAGTGATGAATACATTTCATTAAACCAGATGCTTCCTCATCAAAGAAAACTGAGATTTTAGCATAGTCTCAAATACATCTGACCTTGAACCTTTAGGCAAAATACGAAATTAGATGATTGTCCTTATTTCTTTAAAAGAAAAAGGTATTTCTCCATGCCTTGTATAAATGCAACACACTTAATACTTCAATATAAAAATAATCCTATTTCAATGTTTTCAAGTTAAAACTGAACTTGGTTAATGATGTAAAAGCTGTCCAAATTCCAGCAATGCTCTCAACACAGAAAACTCCCAACCTTTGTCGGAGTGGTTCTTCCTGCCATGAGGGATGTGGTGAAGGCACAGAATGTACCCATCTTCTGTCTCCACGTAGTGCTCCATGGCCGGGTATCCCCAGTGACTGATGATTTCACTCTGGAGACAGAAAACAGGACAGACTCTGAAGTAACTGTGCACACACGGACAGGCAAAGGAGAGCAGAATGCTGATGGTATTTTCTGGGCTTTACTTAAAACATCCATTGTTACTAAATGTTTAATCTGTTCCATCTAGATGCCAACATTGCATAACAAGAGAAAAGTCTACCTATTCACAGGTTGGTTAAATGTTGGTTCCACCATTTTAGGGTGTTCTGTATCAAGTACTTCTAACTTTACCATAGCTTTGGGCCTCATGGCTTCCATTTTGCCTACCAGGAATAGATAAACTCTCTTTTTTTTCAAAGTACGCCAGATAGTCCTGTCAAAGTATAAAACATTTTCCTTTTTTAAGAAGCTCCATCCTGGGAAATAAAGTATAAAAAATTCATTTGTTTTTAGTCAGTAACTAAAAACTTTACATTAGAATGCCAAGGTAAAAGTGAAGAAAAGCTGAAAAAGCAAGGAATTATGATCAGATACACTTTCCTATAGGGAACAATCCACAGGGCAATCATGAATCAGGAGTTCAGTGGGATATGAAAGATTAATTTAATTATGCAAAAGATCTATGTAGCTAAATGTCCACCTATCATAAATACTTGAAAAGATAATGTTTTTGTTCTTAAAGGAAGAAATTTTTTTAAAGGGGGAAGGTAATAGAAAAGCTCTGGGGCCGGCGCCGCAGCTCACTAGGCTAATCCTCCGCCTAGCGGCGCCAGCACACCGGGTTCTAGTCCCGGTTGGGGCGCCGGATTCTGTCCCAGTTGCCCCTCTTCCAGGCCAGCTCTCTGCTGTGGCCAGGGAGTGCAGTGGAGGATGGCCCAGGTGCTTGGGCCCTGCACCCCATGGGAGACCAGGAAAAGCACCTGGCTCCTGGCTCCTGCCATCGGATCAGCGCGGTGCGCCAGCCGCAGCGCGCTGGCCGCGCCGGCCATTGGAGGGTGAACCAATGGCAAAAAGGAAGACCTTTCTCTCTGTCTCTCTCTCTCACTGTCCACTCTGCCTGTCAAAAAAAAAAAAAAAAGAAAGAAAAAGAAAAGAAAAGCTTTGGGATAAGAAGTGGAAGTTTACCTTGAGTACCTTGTTGTCAGCTCACACCCTCTTGGCTCACTAAGAAATCTCTTGATTCTTCAAGAGATAGCATCAGCATTTAAAGATGTTGCTTTCTTTAATATTTTGTATTTTTCCAATGTTTTATGCCTAAATGAGGTATTTAAACATTCTTTTTGTCTACTTAGGATTAATAACTTTGGGGTGCTTCAATTAATCAATAACTTATTTTTCTTTCTTCGTCCTAACAAACTTTTTTCAGATACTTTAATTTCGTATTGAAGGATTTTCCTGGGACATCCTTTATCAGAATCTTGGTTCAATGAATTCTAAAACCAGCACTCAATATGTAATGTCAATGAAGTTTTGCCACATTCTTATTGGTCTTTAAACTCAGTGAGACTTAAAAATGAAATGAATTAATAAAAATATCTTATTAAGAAACGTAGGGGCAGGTGCTGTGGCGTAGCGCATAAAGCTGCTGCCTGCAGTGCAGGCATCCCATATGGGTGCCGGTTTGAGACCTGGCTGCTCTGCTTCCAATCCAGCAGTAGAAGATGGCCCAAGTGCTTGGGCCCCTCCATCAGCATGGGAGACCAAGAGCTCCTGGCTCCTGGCTCCAGATCAGCCCACTCCGGCCCTTGCGGCCACTTGGGGAGTGAACCAGCAGATGGAAGACGTCTCTCTCTCTCTGCCTCTGCCTCTGCGTAACTCTGCCTTTCAAATAAATAAATAAATCTTTAAAAAAAAAAAAAGAAATGTATAGTTTTAACAGCAAGATGAGGTTTGTTAAATATTACTTGGTGGGAAAAGTCTAGCAAAAACAATCTAAGATTCGGAGAAAGTGAAAAACATAATGAAGTATAAACAGATTAGAATTCTGGCTTTGGGTACCCATATAACTGGATTAAGATAGCAACATCTGTCACAAAGGCATTTTTATAGCTCATGACTCTGATGTACTCACCACATTCATGTAGACTTCAGGATCCACAGATGTGGGCTTTATACTAGATCCCTCAGAATGCCACGTCCCAAGGACCAAGCAGGCCACCAACACCAAGAGCTGCATTTTCATTCTGTATGAAATAGTCCTTTGTTAAATGGCCAAATCTTACTAAACTGAAATATGTTGGCAGATTACGCTCCCAGAAATGTTCTGAGCCAGATGTAGGGCAAGTGAAAATTAAACAAAGGGAAAATATGAAACAAATGTCTCCAGCCATATTTGGAAGCAGAAAATGAAGAATTCTTATTTACTGAGACCTTCCCCACCTACGACCCCCAAATAACATGTGACCATTGGAAAAGAAAAGCATTTTCCTCCTAACCAGAGAAATAACAAAAAGACAGGACTTAAAAATGGGACAGGCTGAGAAACAAGAGTCACAAAATTACCCACCTCTTCTCCTCCTTTTGCAATGGAAGCATCTTTAACTTCAGCCAAGGTTAACTGTTATCTCCTCCTACCATGTATTCACTTCTGCTCTTGCCCAAAATTATGTCAGCATTCCAATGTGTCAATCAAGGGCGGAGAAAGAGAAATGAAAGAAAACCTACAAGAGAACAGAAAAGAAGAAGTCTACCCCCGCCCCCTTCTGAAACTCTTCAATCATCGACAAAGATCATCTTAGCTTCTGGAAGTAATGTCTCAAAATCACCGCACAGCAAAAATCTCAGAAATTAAAGGTGTTTTGCCTTCCCTAAACACACCCAGATGGTTCAAGGAAAAGCTGAGGCTCCTGACCAGGCCTCCCACATGTTAAAGATAAATAAAATAACTTAAATAGAGGCATGCATTTATGCTTCCATAATGACTGGTCTGAGGGTACTTCAAGATCAGGTAAAATGAGATTAAAAGTTTATTTGTGCAAAAGCAATTTTGAAGTCCATGCATATGAAGAGTGTTCAAAAAGTTTATGGAAAATGCAGATTACAAAAAATTATGCATGGATTTCCAATTTTCTGCAACAAATAAACTTCTCTTTTTTTAAAAAAAACATTTATTTAGTAATTTGAAAGGCAGAGTTACAGAGAAGCAGAGGCAGAAAGAGAGAGGTCCTCCACTCACTGGTTTACTCTCCAAATGGTTCCAATGACCAGAGCTGAAAGGATCCCAGACCAGGAGCCAAGAGCTTCTTCGTGGTCTCCCACACAGGTGCAGGGGCCCAAGCACTTGGGCCATCTTCTACTGCTTTCCCAGGCTAGCAGAGAGCTGGATCCAAAGTGGAGTAACTGGCACCCAAATGGGATGCCAGCGCTGCAGGTTTACCTCCTATGCCACAGCTGCAGCCCCAACTTTTCTTTTAATTTCGTCTTTCTATGAACTTCTTGAAGTTCCTTCATATAAAAGCAATTATATGTGTAACAGCTCAAAACTGGAAAAACCCACATGCTTGACTGGACACATTGTGATACATACATACTATTCAATAATATAGATAAACCTCAAAATAATTACTCTGAGTGAAACCAGAAGTTGGTGCTTTGGCTTACCAAGCTAAGCCTCTGCCTACAGCGCCGGTATCCCATATGGGGACCAGTTCATGTCCTGGCTGCTCCACTTCCAATCCAGCTCCCTGCAAATGGCCTGCGAAAGCAGTAGAAGATGGCCCAAGTGCTTGGGCCCCTGTACCTGTTGGGGAGACCTGGAAGAAGCTCTTGGCTCCTGGGCTCCTGGCTTCGTACTGGCCCAGTTCCGGCTGTTGTGGCAATTTGGGGAGTGAACCAGCAGATGGAGGACCTTTCTCTCTCTCTCCCTCTGGCTGTAACTTTAATTCTCCAATAAACAAATAAAACATTTAAAAAAAAATCTGAAGACCAAAAAAGTATGATCCTATTTATAAAAAAAAAAGAAAGAAAACAATAGAAAATGCAACTTAATCTATATTGACAGAAAGCAGAGCCATGGTTGCCTGGAGAGAAAGAGGAAAAGATTACAAAGGGGCAACCACAAGACATCTTTTGGGTGTGATGTACAGGTTCACACTATTGAACGAACTGATGGTTTCACACCTGTTTGCACACAGCAGAACTCATGCAGCAAATTGTATAAATGAAATATGCCCAGTAATACTTCTATACTGCTGGGCTTATTTTTTTTTTTTTTTTGACTTGCACTTAAACTAAGTATTCCACACGTCTTAAGAAGTTCATTCTCAGGAAATTGCAAAGTGAACTGATGGCCTTCTGTTGATGAGATTCCTCTTGGTGTTATTTTCTCAAAATTCTAGACAAGAGCAAACGTTATGTTGAGTCTGCTTTGGCAAAGCAAGCCCATTGTTTTTACTTACAAATTCATATTTCTCAAGGGTAGTTGTGTAGGTCTGTTCAGCACGGGGCTACTTGTTCCTGCAACTACTAACACCCCAAAAGTCCATTACCAGTAGAGAAGAAGGAGCGGACTTAAAAGGGAGAGATTAAAAGGTGAGCAATAATTGCTTTCTAGGAAGCGCCACAGCCAGGGAACCTGGACCAGCTGCCTGGTAGAACTAACAGCTCAACCTACACAGCTGGACATGCTTTTCAAACAACACTTAGTTTCTCTACCTTCTCTACCGTTTAGTCAAGTCATGGTATGAGTCACTCAAAGGAGGAAAAAACCCTCTAAGCTGAAGAGTGTGTGTGTGTGTGTGTGTGTGTGTGTGTGTGTGTGTTCTGGCTTCCTCGCAATTCAACCAATGTCTGCTCCGTTCACCCCAGTCCCAGGGTAGAGTCTGAACCATTTGCCAGAACCTATGAGATGCACGTGCGAGAGCTCCAAAACTGGGAGGGGGCGGCCCAACATTTCAGCGGCAGAAGAAAAGGGCTTTCTAGGAATAACAAGAATTATGGCTCCTGTGGAAGCTCCGGCGCCGGGCACCGCAAGCAGCACTGCTGCTGTCCACGACTCCTCCACCCATCCCAAGGCGGTAGGTACCATTAAGTCCGGTTCTTGGGACCCGAGGTTTTCCCAAGGTAAGTACCGGGAGCAAAGTGTCAGCGGATCAAAGAGCGGGATCGCGGGTACTTTAACCAGGACAGAAGCCTGACGCGGTCTGGAGGGCAGGCTGTCCCGAGGGGATAACGGGACCGCAGGACCGCGCGCAAGCAGGGCAGCTGGCAAGGTGGCGCCGCGGCAGTCCCCGAGGTCAAGGGGCTCTGCGCAGCCCCACCGGCCGCAGCGCGCCCCAGCTGTCTCCCGAGTGCCCGGGAGACGACCCCGGCCTCAGGCCGCCGGCCGCAGGAAACACCCACAAGCCACCAGGGCAACAGGCGCCCGGGTCCTGGTGCAGAGACGCTGGGCGCGAGGGCTGCACCCCGAGCCGGGTGCGGCTCTACCAACGGAGCCGCGGGCTGCAGGCCGGGCCCGCACCCTGCGGCGCAGCGGGGCCCGCACTCACCTGGGGCCGTCGTCCCTGGCCACAGTCCCGAGCCGCACTGACCGCCTGCGGAGCGTCGGTGCAGGGCGGAGCTGGAGTGGACCAAGGCGTCCCCAGCGAGTGGGCGGGCAGCCGCCACTCGAGTCGAGCTATTAGCGCCTCCAACCAGAGGGCCGCTCAGCACGGGAAGTGCCGCGGAGACTCCGCCCCGCACCCACCCGGCGCCACCGCGGTCAGGCTCGCCCGGGAGCAAGGCACCGGCAGAGCGGGCGCCACCGTGGAAGGGCCCGGGAGGTTGGGGGCTTAGACCCCAGGCCTACCGGCGGGGCCCAACCCCCAATGCTATCCGCAGCCCGCTTGCTCAGGGTGTTCTCTTAAGGGCTGCCTCCTGCTCTGCCCAGGAGCTCCTGCTGAGCTTGGGCCTTCTGGGCCTGCCATAGAGAACATGAACTCTTATCAATGAAAATAAGTTTACAAGCCGCAAATATCACGCTTAGCGTGGTTCCTGACGCAGAGCAATCCAGCTGCACATTTTAGATTTATTGTTACAATTTTGTTAAAAGTGGAAGAAATAATTTCCAACATGCAATATTCTATACTAATCACTTCACTCAACAAGCATGTTATTAAGCACTTATTAAATGCCAGGCATTATTAAAAGATGGGGTACAGCAGCTCCCATGAAATCCCTGTTCCTAATATCTTGCAGTGGGAAGAGACACCCTGTGCATGAACAACTATGTAATACATGAGGTGGTGTTAAATGCTATGGAAACAAACAGGGTAAAAAGGGTAATGAGGTAGGAGACTATGTTACAAATGGGGGGATCTTCAGAAAGTTCGTAAAGGTGCATGTTATGAAAATGTGCATGGGCTTTAAAATTTCTGCACCAAAATAAGCATCTTCTAATTCCATTTTTCCACAATTTTTTTAAGTGCCCTGTTACGGGTGATCAGAAAAGGACTCTGATAAAGAGACATCTGAGCACAGAGGGGAAGGAGATGGTTGAGAATCATGTGAATACTGGGAGGGAAAACATGGGGGTAGGGGGAAGGAGCAAGTGCAAAGACCCAGAAGTGTTGTATCAAGGGTCACAGGCAGAAAGCAATGGAACGTGGAAACCCTGAGGTAGCTCAGTGCCCTGGGGCCCAGTTGTCAAGAGTTTACCTCATCTTCCAAGCAAGATGAAAGCCAATGGAGAGTTTTTAGTAGAAGGGCGACATACTCTGGTTTACAATTTAGAGAGGGCACTCTGGCTGCTGAGCTTAACTGTGGAGCAGAATGCTACTGCAATAATCCAAGGGGGAATTAATCATGGATTGGACAAGATGGGGAGAGCAGTGGAGGTGGGGAAAAGTAGTCAACCCTAGGTGTTAGGAAGTCAGATATGAGCTTATGTGTGTGTGACAAAGGCCTAAAGAAAAGACATCTATGTCCAGCATATGCATCTGCATCTCAAAGTCATCCCAATAACGTTTCAGGGGCAGCCCAGTATTAGCATCCTGCCCTGCCCCCTCCTACCCGATTACCTGCCGGGTAGGGGTCCCCGCCCCTTCTGCCTGACAATCTTCCAGAATCTTCCAGATGCAGCCCAGTATCTGCATTTCAAACACCCTGCTCCAGATCCTGGGTTAGGACAGCTTCCTCCTGTCTGATACCTTCAGGGGAAAACCCAGATAGAAGCTTCTTAATATTTACATCCATAAAATCCTTTGTTTCAGGAAGAGATGTGTGAAGACAAAGACCCATCTCCTTAAAAACCCCTGGCCTCAACTGGACTGCGTGCTCAGCCCTCTGCCTCTATGCTGAGCTGCTCACCTGGCCTGGCCTGGCCTGGCCTGCCCAGGTGTACTCTCTCCACTCAACCACGTAACCCCACTCTCCCCCAGTCTGAGCGACTGGGCACTCTCTCTCAGGTTCTGTCTGGATGTTCTTACTGATGTCCCTTCTCTAATAAACCTTGCTATTTTACCTTCCACTACTCTCTGTCTCATGCTTGAATTCTTTCTTGTGCGAAGACAAGAACCCTGTCATTCACCAGTAACATAGGTATATTCATGAAATTGAGCCAACAGGATTCGCTGGTGGATTGGACAGAGGTATGAGAGAAGTAGTATCGAGGTCGCACTCATTGCTTTAGTAAAATGGGGTTGCCATGAAGTGAAGTGGAGAAAGTATCAGGAGGAGCAGCATGAGAGGGAAAGCCAGAGTTTGTTCTAGATGTGTTGGTTCTAAGATGCCTATTAGAGAGCTCAATGAGCTAAGGCTACACCAGGAAAACAGAAACCACTGTACATATTACAAACAGAGGAAATGGTTACACAAGTTGGGAAGTCAAACAGGGTGGTAGGCAGGTAACTCAGAGATGATTAACAACAGGAAGGGCTGGGGCATTATTGGGAGAAGACAGAACCAGCAGAGACCAGAGGGTGAACAGCCGCCCCTGCTAAAGACACTGCCTGAGGCCAAAAGAGGGAACTAGAAACTGTGGCTTCCCCTTCATTGTGCCCTTCTGTGGCTCATCGAATCCTTCCTGTGGGTCAAACGCAGCCTGAATCTGCTGAAAATGGACCTAAGAAATGCACTCTGCCAGGAGCAGACCCCTATGTTGTCCAAGACAGAGCAGAGCAGGACAAGGAGAAGGAATGGAAAAGGCAGAGGTGAGCAAAGCATCCACTTGGAGTTGTTGAATAGGCACTAGGATGAGTGGATCTAGCAGCCAAAGTCAAGCCCTAGGCGTGAGATACATTTTGGGAACCACCGGTATTCAGAGCTATGAGATTAGATGATGTCTGTAAAGCCAGCATAAGTAGCAAAGAATATATGTAGAGACTCAGAAGACTAGAAGCCGAGAAGACACTGGGGGAACAACTGAGAGTGTTGTACTTAATATCAAGTGTTGTACCTAATATATCTTTTTAAGAAAGAGGAAGTGATCACTTTAGTGCCAGGGATAGCTTGAGTGAAAGGACTCCTGAGAAATAGCATCAGTTTTAGCAACATTTCTGTGTGTTGGTTGCTCTGCCCTTCATGTAGAGTAAACCCTCAACAGAAGCTCCATGTTCCCACTCAGTAGATGAGAAAACTGAGGCTTGGAAAGGTTAAAAATATGGCCCTGAATCACAAAGGCAGGAAAGGATGCAGTCCAACATCCAACCCAGGCAAACTAAATACAGATCGTCATCTAAGAATGAATGAACAAATGAAAATACAACCAAAAAGTTGCTTGACCCAGATAAGGGGAATTTTCTTCCCGTTCCGATTTGTGCAATTATAATCCACAATGACTGGTGAATGACCCACACTTTTACCAAAAGAGGAAGTTTTACATAATACAAGAGGCAACAAGTGGTAGCAATGGTGATGGTATTGGTATAGGATGACCACTTTTTATTATAAGCCAGACTGGTATAGTAAAGAGTGAAATAGGGGCTGGCATTGTGGTATAGTAGGTTAAACCTCTGCCTGCAGTGCCAGCATCTGGTTCAAGTCCCGGCTGCTCCACTTTCGATATAGCTCCCTGCCGATGGCCTGGGAAAAGCAATGGAGAATAGCTCAAGTCCTTGGAACCCACCACCCACATGAGAGACCCGGAGAGGCTCCTGGCTTGGGCCTGGCCCAGCCCCAGCCATTGCTGCCATGTGGGGAGTGAACCAGTAGATGGAAGACCTCTTCTTTTTTTTTTCTTTTTTTTCTTTCTTTTCTTTTTTCTTTCTTTCTTTCTTTCTTTCTTTCTTTCTTTCTTTCTTTCTTTCTTTCTTTCTCTCTTTTTTTTTTTTTTTGACAGGCAGAGTTAGTGAGAGAGAGACAGAGAGAAAGGTCTTCCCTCCGTTGGTTCACTCCCCAAATGGCCACCATCCGAAGCCAGGAGCCAGGAACTTCTTCCTGGTGGATGCAGAGCCTAAGCACTTGGGCCATCCTCCACTGCCTTCCTGGGCCACAGCAGACAGCTGGACTGGAAGAGGAGCAACCAGGACAGAACCAGTGCCCCAACTGGGACTAGAACCTGGAGTACTGGTGCCACAGGCGGAGAATTAGCCTAGTGAGCTGTGGTGCTGGCTGGAAGACCTCTTCTATCCGTGTCTGTTTCTTCCTCTCTGTGTAACTCTGACTTTCAAATAAACAATCTTAGGGGGAAAAAAGAGTGAAATAAAATACTATTAATGGCTAATCCTCCACCTGCGGCGCCGGCACACCGGGTTCTAGTCCCAATCGGGGCACCGGATTCTGTCCCGGTTGCCCCTCTTCCAGGCCAGCTCTCTGCTATGGCCCAGGAGTGCAGTGGAGGATGGCCCAAGTGCTTGGACCCTGCACCCCATGGGAGACCAGGATAAGCACCTGGCTCCTGGCTTTGGATCAGTGTGATGTGCCGGCCACAGCGCGCCGGCCACGGCAGCCATTGGAGGGTGAACCAACGGCAAAAGGAAGACCTTTCTCTCTGTCTCTCACTGTCCACTCTGCCTGTAAAAAAAAAAAAAAAATACTGTTAGCAGTTCTGCTTCCAACCGCGATGAAATAAGAATGACCAATTTTACTCTCGTGCTTTAAACAATTAGAAACAAAAAGTGTGAAACAATGGGGTTAGAAATTGGACAAAACACAGTGCAGGAGAGTAATCCCTGAGAAAAGGAAAAAGAATTAAACGAGCCCTGAAATGTCCTTGGTCTGGGGAGAATTTCCAGGCTGCAGTTCAGGGGGACAATCCAAGCAAACTCCAGCATTTTCTCTGAATGTAGGAGACAGAGGAGAATTGAAGAGGGTGAAGGCAGTAGAACTGCAGGACAGAGTACTGGAGTGAAGAAAGTGTTCGGTAGGAAGTCAGAAATGAGCTTATGTGTGTGTGACAAGGGTCTAAGGAATTGACATCTACAGCAGTCCAGCACCCGCATCTCAAAGTCACCCCAATAACCTTCCAGGTGCAGCCCAGTATCTGCACCTCAAAGTCCCGCCCAGATCCTGATGACCTTCCAGGGGGTCCTGCCCCTTCTACCCAATAACCATCCTTCCTCTTAGGCAGGCGATGCCAGCCAGGCTTCCCCCGTCTGATAATTTCAGGGGGAAAACTCAGAAAGGAATTTTTTTGTATTTACATCCAACAAGTCCTTTGTTCAGGAGGAGAAGAAGGAAAGGGTGAGGGAAGGCAAGACCCATCCCCTTAAAAACCCCAGCCTAAATACAAACTGCGTATTCTCTCTCAGGTCCTGTCTGGAGAGGTGCCCATCCATTCTTATGGATGTCCCTACCCCAATAAACTTTGCTATTTTGCTTTCCACTACTCTCTGTCTCATGCCTGAATTCTCTCTTGCGCAAAGACAAGGACCCTTTGCTTCTCCAGTAACAAAAGCTGAAGGGAGAAAGGGAGCCCTGGCCAGCTGCAGAGGGATCCCCTCAAGTCATCCACTGAGTGTGTTTGGGACATTGCAAGTGAAGAAACTACACTGCACTGGCAAAAGGAGCATTTTCCTTGGCAAAAATCCCCAGGGAATTATTATTTCAGGTTATAACCAGCTACAGTGAGGAGACCTTGTCCTGTACAAGACACTAGGTAGAAGATTCGTGAGTCTGTATTGGAGCAAAATTAGTCCTAGGTTAAATTCCTTAAAAACAAGAATCAGGAAATAGACCCCCCAATTAATTTTTCACCAAGGAGTAAGAAAGTCCAACAGGAAAAGGATAATCTTTGTGACAGTTCAATAGTTACATGAAAACCAGTGAACCTAGACCTTTATCCCATGGCTTAGAGAAAAATTAACTTAGGACCACACACATGAATTTGAGAGCTAATACTATGGAGCCTCCAAGGGGAAAAAAAAAAACAACCTCATTAGGAAAAAAAAAATCGTAAACCAAAACCCATAAAGAAAAAAAAGATCAACACTTTGGACTTCTTCAGAATGAGAAACATTAGCTCTTCAAAGACACTTTATAATCACAATGAGATAACTCTTGGTGCCCAACTAGGATGGCTATAATAAAAAGATACAGTAACCAGTGCTGGTAAGGATGTGGGGAAATTTGAACCCTCACACACAGCCAGTGGTCACTTTGGAAAATGATCTCACAGTTCCTCAAAAGACTAAACAGAGTTGTTATATGATTCAGAAATTTTACTCCTTGTTACATAGTCAAGAGAAATGAAACTTAGGTCCACATAAAAACTTTTACACAAATGTTCATGGGAGCATTACTCACAATGATCAAAAAAGTGTAAACAACCCAATGTCTATCAATTGAGAAACTGATGGATATAATGTATTATGTGTATACAATGGAATATTATTTTATAATTTTACTAATACAAGCTGCAAGATGAATGAACCTTAAAAACCATACGCTAAGTGAAAAAAAGCCAGTATAAAAGGCCATTCCATTTAAATGAAATGTCCAGAATGGGAAAATCAACAGAGACAAAAAGTGGATTAGTGGTCACCTGGTGCTGGGGGAGCAAAGGGGGAGAAAGTGGATTATCGACTACACGGTGGAAGGTTTATTTTTAGGGTGATGAAAATGTTCTAAAATAACTATGGCGAGGTTTGCACAACTCTGCAAATATACTGAACACTATTGTTCACTTTAAATGGGTGAATTGTATGGTTTATGGATAATATCTCAACGGGCTGTTTTTAAAATTTTTACCAAATTATAAAGTATACTCTTTACAATTTAATAAGACTAAAACCCTAAACAAAAATGGGAAGACTATTTGAATGGGTACTTCACAAAAGAAGATAGTGTGGTGAATGATAAACATGTAGAAGAGGCTCAATCTGATTAATCATCATGGAAATGCAATGAGAACCATGATAAGATACTGCCATTCTACCACCACAATGGCTAAGTTAGAAAGACTTGGCGACTTGGCGAGGAGCAGGCAGTCACCCTAGCAGTTAAGACTCCCACATGTGAGAACCTGGTTTGTTTCCTGCCTCTGGTTCCTGATGCCAGCTTTTTGTTAATGCAAGAATCTGAGAGGCAGTGATG